AAAGCTTTCAAAACAAAAAAGATACAAGCACGCAAAAAAAGTCCGGATAATTATGCATCAACCCAATAGTGAGACCAGCGAAAAATTCTTTTTGGACTACGGGAGAAAACTACGTTGTCGTCAAAACAGTTTTTATAACAAAGAGGAAATAAAACTGGGAACAGACTTCCCGCCGAAATCAGTGAGGTTATCACAGGAAAAACATTTACATTGTGTTGGGGCATGCTGTTAAATAAACTTGAGCAAATTAGGATCGGAAGCAGGTTTACACTGTATTACAGTAATCTTTCAATGAGGAAACATATCGCATTCTTTCCCTTCCAATTTTTTATTCTGGAAGTTTTTAAATAGCAATTCAAGTAACTTTATACCACATCTTAATAGGAGTCATTAACGTCATAAATGAATGCTTCCTGATTAGCGTTTCAGAAGACCCTTCGCTTCTTCGTACCGGCTCTATCCGTCATGGAATTAAGGTGATCCACAATTCCAATATCCGTCCTACTATTTACATACACTATGCCCACGTGTTAATAAAAAATTGTCTGTGCTGGAATTTGTATATTCTGGCTAAAGTTAAATGGCCTATCATTACATATCAAATAATCTCGCTAAGCGAATCTCCAAAACTTCCGTGGCATTGGCTCAAGTCATACCGGCACTACCCTGAGAAATAATTATGCTTCAGCAAAAATTTAAGCTTTTAAATTTCGGCACAAAATTTATGACCTAATCTTTACAGTTTTTTTAAACTTTGGCAATTAATCTTTTGCAAAGATCACAAGTTTAAGGTCGCATTTTTCACAGATCCATCCGTCCTTCGTCATTATAATCGCTGATTACTACGTCCTTTTTTCAATTTCAATGTTGGCATTGAAGTGCGGCGGCGACTTTAGCGAGGTTCAGATCCATTATTCGTTACCAGCTGGAAATTCAACTGGTCATTCGTGCAACGATGTCAGCCCATCTGGTCGGTGGCCCCTCGAGAACGTTTTGCTTCACAAGGGATCCATTCCAGAGTTGTTAGTGTCCATCTGTCGTCTGCTCTTCTCATTATTTGACCAGCCAATCGATGTTTAGCCTTAGAGACGTAGACCGCTGTATCGCGAGACGGGACGTTGATCTCATATCTGAACTGCAAAGTTCGACAGGATGTAAAGGGCATCGTTTGTACTTCAGACGTCATTGCAGCGCTTTATGGGTTGTTCGAAGTGCCTTCGAAGTAGCCACAGTGTCAGGCCACTCTCCGCTGCGTAACATTGCGCAGGGAGAACGACTAAATCGAATAGGTAGGTTCGGAGCTCTCGACAGTTGGTCTGTAGCTTACTTTAGGGTCGAAGGCGGCCCCAAGCTGCTCTTCGCCTCTTGTTAGATCTTCTTTCAGATCGTTCTCCATGTTCATCGAACGTCCGAGATATACGTAAGAAGGCCTCCCCGCGATTGTAGATAATTCCATTTCCTGATCCTCACAAAAGCGTTCTTTATGAACTGGGTCTTCTTCCGATTAATTCGCAGTCCTATCCGCTCCCTACTTCATTTAGTTCTTTCAACACCGTTCCGCTTCAGCGATATTGATGTTTGCATCCATCACTGTCACTGAGCGGTCGAGTTTTTTTTTGTGCTCCCTTTTTTCTTTATTAGACTATATTCTTCCGGTAATTGAAAACTGTTTTTCTTATATCTGTTTTAGCTTATCCATTTTCGATCGATCCCGCTATGCCGTCCCGCGTAAGTA